CAAAAAATGTTTTCTGGGTGAAAATGACATCCTTTGAAATGTCGAACACCCCAAAAAATACTTGAGGTCTGTTGCCGGGCCTCGTTTCGCTCGCTAATAAGCGGTTAGTTTCCGGTCGTAAGGCCTCGGCTCCAGGAAATCGAGCACCAGAAACGCACACTTTGGAAAAGTTCTGCAGGAAAACGCCTGATTTCTTCAGAAATGGGCCGTTTTGGTGTATCTGTTCGAATAGTCGGTGTATACTTACGAATTGAAGATGGTAAGATCCGGTTATTCCGTACGTGACTGGACAATGGACACCAATTCTGTAGCTGTGGAGGATAGACCCGCTAATCCACTTTGTGCCATTGAAGGGACGGGATACATCGTGGAAAACCTGAATCGAGGGGGCTACTTTCGGGAAAGATAATGTTTTTAGTGTATTTTTAATAAATATAAGTTTGGAAACAAGTATACAGTAAAATTTCGCGTCTAATAAACGTATTTTAATCGTTTCGAGATTTTCCGTTCTGGAAAAGCCGGTTGTAAAACTGTAAGAATCGCGCAAAAAAGGTTAAGTATTATAAAAACCTTAACTTGTTAAATTATAGTCGCCAGTGTATAAATCCAAACTCTCCGAAAAGGCTAAAAATACGAGTACCAAACTACTCTCATCTGCTGCGGGCTCCACTAATTCTACAAAAAGCGCCAGGTGAAATGTGGTCAACCAAATACATAGGGATCACCCATGTGGGGAGAAGAAGCATTACAGTCGCGATACGAAACATGTGTCGCATTCGGCAGTGAAGCCAATTTTTGAGCTATTTTTAAAACCCCAAAATTTTTTAAGTTGAAAGGGTTTTCTATTTTTTTGGGAACCCGGTCGCCGCATAAGCATAAAACTACGCTAGAAAATTTCAGCTATGAATTTTAAATTTTTGGAAACAATGAAAGCGATGGGAAGTCGGGGGTGTTCAAAAAAGGTGAAGGCCTCCTCGGCTATATAATGTATAGTTCGCGAATTTTTTTAGTATTTTAAGATCAACTATCGAGTGACCACGGCTTAAAAAGTTTTTTTATGAATTTCCAGAACGTTCTTAAAAGTTTTCAGTATTCTGAAATTAGACGTCGTTAAACATCCAGTTGACCACGTACATATGAAAATAATCTAAAACCCAAAAACAAGCAAATTCCAGAAAAATCGGCTGGCGGCCAACGGATCTGTTTAGCCTTCCGTTTGATCCGCCGGTTCGAGCAAACAACCCGTCATCCAGCGCATTTCGGAACGCAAAGAAGACGCCGGCGCGACATTTCAGTCCCTGGAGCGATCAAGCAACGGCTTTGCGAATGCCGTCGACAGATGAGAAAAACATAGCGAGCCTGTTGAAATAAGAATAGCGGATCGAACCTCGAATCCTCTCATTAATGCGCAGATTTGCTGATATGATGCTTTGATATAGGCAAACCCAGCTAAGCCCGGGCAAAGTCTCCGCCAATCCACGTAGCACGTGGACTGCTGCTTGCGCTATTCCTTTAATTCCTGCAAACGTATTACCTAGAAATATGCTGATATTACAGGATTTTATCTGGATCATTTCTTGGTCGATATTCTGAAAAAGGCGAGGCAATTGGCGGTATTTCTGAATAGCTCTAATCCGATTTTTCAAATGTTGACCTCTTTTATTAGTTCAGCAATCCATCTTATTACTCTTTTGCGAATTTTTTTGCAGCTTTTCACGAATTTTTTCAAGGTTGAGCGAAATGGGTACGCCACACTCCACCCAACGACGCTATTTCCGCGCTTTCGCCTTCCATATGTGAAGGCTTCGGGTTTTCGCCAGTTTTCGTTTTTCATTTCTCTTTAAACTTTGAAAAACGCTAAATATAGCTAACCGTATCGTTTGGTTTGTGCCCACAATGGCGCCTGGGCGCTTGAAAACGAAACCTCCTGGCCTCCCGGACTCGGCTAAGTCACGGGTAGAAGCGTTTCAACCAAGTTGTTAAGATCTTCTTCAGAAAACGCCCGTTTCTGAAGCAGGAGCGGGGTGTGAGGGAAGCAATGGCGCGTCTACGCGAAAATATCCGTCGGAAGCGCCTATTAAAAAGTGGGTAGTAGTTGTTAGCTATGGGCTGTTTTCCTAGGGGAGAAGGTGGAATCGGAAAGCCAGCTGGTCAAGTGCCGGTAAGGCCAGCTAAGACGGAGTGCAAGGTAGAGTATAACATCTTGATGTCGTCAATATTTTTATTTAGCTCTGTTCATTCATCGGAAAGACGGCCACCTTCCGGTTTGCCCATTTAGCAGCGGATGCAACGGATTCGGCGTATATTTCTGATTTCAAAAACGAAAATAAATTTTAGATGCCGTTTTTGTTCGCTTGGGTTGATTTTGCCGATGGGATCGAAAGTCATTTGGCGAGAGTGCACTCTCATTTGGAGATTTCTCCGGAGGTTCGACGACGTTTGAGAGCTTGTATGTTTTAAAGTTTTTAGCTTTTTAGTTTGGATTTTGGATCTTCATTTCCTCCCTTAGACCTGAGCAGCAGCGCTACGATATTTGTTTCTCGGATGAAAGTACCCGCAGAAGCGGACGCTGCCGTCTTTGATGCATAACGAGCTGCTCGTCATCCCGAAGACAGCGGATACCTTAACGCCAAGGAAATGGAAGTCGGAGCCCGAAGGTAGAATATTAGGCGGTTTCTGTATAATATTGGAGAATTTAGATCTTGATACTACGATGGAATCTGGTTACAATATTGCCATTGCGCGATCACGCCGGAATTGGATTGTTTTGAGGTTGGTTTTATAAAAATAAAAGCATTTTCAAAGTTTACAAAACACAAGGCAGCTTTTTTTTTGCAAAATACAGCGCAAGAGACCCCTTTCAAATCGCTGCAGATATCGATAATAGCCGAATTGCAAATCACGATTTGTGGATTCCGATACCTCTACCGGCTCCTCCTCTCGCCAATCCACCTCCACGAAGCTCATTACGGCCTCTCGGGGATCAAGCTTGGGTCGACATCAGAATTGAACGCCACCGGAGATCCAAATGATTATCCAGGTTGGTTTCTTCTAGTTTTTAGGTGAGAAATTTTGTGATTTTCAGATCCTTAGTAGAAAAAATCAATTTTAAAATATAAACAAAGGAAATACCTTGTAAATTTTATATTCTGAGCTCTCCGCTCACTCCCAATGGGCCCTCAGATCATAGAGTTTTGCCAATTGCCCCCCACCTTCAAGAAATCTACCTGCTATTTTTGCAAGGTGGATTTTACTCTTTACGCTCATATCGGTGTTTTTCATATAAAATGTTTGAATAATTTATATTTTAGGATGTTAATTTAAACTTTTGAATTTAGGAGCCACATCAAGCGCGACAAACATGGTCAAATGCCGCTCGAATGTTACATAGCCCACATTCTTCGACGACACGGCCACCTGGATGCCGCACACGAATTTATTGAGTTTTCCCGTAAGAATAAGCGTCACAAAATTATCAGATTTTTAGGACTGAACTCTCGATCCATTTGGTGTGATTCAAGCTGAAATTTGGAGACGGACTGGTTTTGTAATGTTTTTGGACTGATAATGATCTTTTGCTTTAGTTAACGTGTGAAAATGTGATGTTCAATACCCTGCGTTGCAAGACCTGAAAATCAGGCATCCGTGTAACCGATATGAAGATGGGAAGAACGACGACGCAAAGAAATTAGAGACGTGAGAATTTCGTATTTTGTCTTTAGGGGCTCCAGAAGTCAAAATTCGCGCGTACAGGGATTGAACCTGGTCAAAAAATGAAAGAGTCACTGCCGAGGAGTACAACAAAACTGTTTTCGTTGCGAAAAAAACGTCAAATATTTGAGTAAAACCGAAGTATTCTCAAAAGGACGAAAACGAGTTTTAAGTGTGCGACGATTACATGTCGTAATGCTTGTAAGACACCCAATCTCTCGATCTCGGTGATTCTGTTCAATTTTCATAATTTAAAAGTCTGGAATGATCAAAATTCAGTGAAGATTCCAAAAATAGCATCAGAATTTTTTATTCAAGAGTTTTCGGGTCCAAACAGGGGCAAAGAACCGTAGAAGCGCGATGCGTTGCGGCCGCATCTGGCAATTGCCAGGAATCACAGCAGAGGCCGTGGACCCGAGATTTCGGAGTCCCTTTAAAGAACTCTCTATCCCTCTAAATTTTTATATTTTGTAAATTTTCAGGAAAGACCGCTTTGCCCGTTGGCTGTGGAAAGAGGCGAGTGATTTTAGGATTTTCACGAATTTTATGATTGCAGGATTTCAACCTCGTTCCGAAGAAGCTGCGTTGAATATTGCCAAATTCGGCACCTAGTGCAGGCTCATCATTTCGACAAAAGGGCCTTCGACAGGCGGTCGAGTTATTGTGAGTTGTTTATGCTTTTTATTTTCTATTTTTAGGAAAACGAAGACGTTCCAACGGGATATGCCCCATCTATCCGTCGAAAAGTCGTTCGCCTCCTATATCGACATGAAGCGCCCGTTCGCGTGCAGCGCATGGTATGACGTTTAAATACCCGGAGGTCGGTCGATTTCCTACTTAATATAATCAGCGCAAATTTTTTTAAGAAGGCTAAAAATTCGAATTTTCGACCAAAATTGTCAAATTTCCAAGCACTTTTCGAAGTTTCTGAATTGTTTTCCCTCTTCGAAGGTAGCTAATTTTTGGGAATGCGAAAGAACTCGGAGACTCTTTTCTAAACCTAAATAAAAATAATATCCTCCACAAATTTAGGAGCTCCCTTTCACTTCCACGCCAGCATACCGACGCTTTCTACCGACGCCGTGTCTACAACGACTCTCGAAATACGAGAACGCCTTCGATTTTAAATAAGCAGAAGCCAGTGCCGGTGGAAAAGGTAAAGCATCAACAACGGTATAACCTAATTTTAATTTCGTGCTCTTTTCTTGCTTTTGCAAACCTAAAACAGATTAAAAAAATGGCTTTTTTAAAGTGTAAATTTTAGTTTCATGTAAGCATACTTTTTTCAGAACGTGCGCGACGTTTTCGAGTGGCTCGGCCAGGGCCCCATCCTCAAGCAGCTGCACTCGCCAAAGGTGGAATACAAGAAAAAGGTGAGTTTGATGGAATTATTTTTTGAGAATATTGTTTGTTTTTAGCTGCTGACCCGCGGCGGTGGCATGTTACGCGACCGGACGGCCGCCTTTGACATGGAGTGCGACCCGGCGGAGGAGGTGTGTAGGCCTGTTCGATGCGTATTTTCATCATTTTTAGGTCGAAAAATGCTGCCCGAAATATCGGAGCTGGAGCCGATCGACGTCTCGCATCTTCCGAGGATTTCAACCGGCGCGAAGTAGGGGCTTTTTTGCGACTAGAGATTTGGTTCTTTTGCATTATCGGGGGGGGGGTGCATACCTTTTTCTAGGAATCCAATTTTCCCGGTATAAATAGAGAAAGTGTTTCTAAGCTGGTTTTCCTATTTATAAACGTAAAAACGTTAAAACTTTTGATAAAACATGCAAAAAGGGCCGAATTGTCGACCAAAAATGGCTGATTTCAATCAAAACTAAAAATTTTTTTGGCTTTTTAAAAATTCGTTTTTTTAAACTATAGGTAAGGAAATTCATCATGTTTTTTTAAATGCTTTATTGTTATAGAAAAAGTAGCTATTATTATAAGTTAAAAATTCGCCATAAAACTTTTATTTTCAGATGTCCAGAATGCCCATTCGTCGGTTTGGATGGAGAGCACACACGCGTCCATTACGCCAGGGAGCACAAGCAGGTAAAAGATTAATTTTTTTTATATAATTATTTTTAGGACAACGCGCTTACAAATGGCGTCCCATGGTTCAGCATCTGCGGCGAGTGCGAGAAGGCAAAATTGTGTTTTAAAAAAACATATAGTTTTTTTAGCCGTTCTCGGATTTTGACAGTCTGCGAACGCACGTTGCCGACGCCCACGCAGCTGATGAGGAGTGCTACAAGTGAGTTTTTGACGTTGATTTTGTTGTTAGATTAAATGAATTTTTATAAGATTCCTATATATTTTTAACTTTTATTATCTGTAGTTTTAGGTGTCCGACGTGCTGCGTCTCGTTCCAGAAGGCCGGCCATTTCCAGAATCACATGGCCAGATACCACCCGGCACTTGCTGAGCTCATCAAATAGTGCTGTTATTACCTTTTATTTAGCGGCATTCTAGTTAAAAATTTGTTGTATTTGAGTATAGCCCGATCTTGGATATTTACGAGTATAAATTGATTCTAGAATAATTTTTTGAGATTTCCGTTGTTACATTTCGATTCCAATTGTTATGTGCCGTTGTAATTCCTTCGTGGTTCTATACTTGTTATTGCTGATAAATTAAAAACAACGAATCGAAGATATTACCCAATTGATTAATTTAAAAATTCGGTTTGCCGTTTTCCAAGTTAAACTTTGTACTATAGATGTCGTTAGTTAATTGTTGTAAAAAAATAATCACGTTTTTACTTACGGATGTTTGCTAAATTTCATTTCTAGCCATTTTTACCAGTCATTCTTGTAGGCTGGTTTTAATAGACTTTTATTACTATGTTGTTACAATTGAATAGGTAGGTGCATTAGAAATTTAATCATTTTAATTTCTATATTTCAGGATATTGGACGCTTTTTTCAATTTAAATTAAACTTTTTAATAGAAACACAAATTTTGTTTCCATTTTTACTCGGCTTCCGAACAGCGATTCATTAATTTCAATTTAGATCTGAGGCATTTAATCGATAACTAACAACTTGCAAAGACAAAAGCTCGACATTTCCTCTTTTGAGCTTCCGGATCCGAACCTGGGCCGATTTCCCGGCGCCCTACCCCACTATCCCCTAGACCAGTCCCGGGGGTTCAAGTCTCTCTCGTGAGGGAGAGGGGAGAGAGTGAGGAGATCGTGGAGGCGCAGGGTGGGGTGGGGCGAGAGAGTGTGGGGAA